TGTTGGAGCCGCGACACTCACACTTTTGCCTTGGTATGGGGGGAGATAACCCCAACCCTGAAAGATGTTGCTGTCCTTCTGTGCCTCAGCACCCGTGGAGATCACCCCTTTGATCCAGCGTCTTTGACCCTTGCAGAGCAAGTTACCGTCACCGCTCTCCAAAGCGCCTTCTGGGAGGCGCGAAAGTTTAGTTCCTGGTATGATCTTAGAACCGGGAAACTGCTCCAAGAGAGGCCTAAAAGGGATAAAACCACCTACCTTTCTTGGTTGAAGCATTTCTTCAAGGACTTGCAACCAGTTGTAGATGACATCATCGAGGAGAGCTGCAACTCTGTAGTTGGACCGGGTTACCGCGATGACTTGTACTTGGCTGCCTTTGTCAGCTATTTCATCTCCTTCTTTGTTCTACCTAGTAACCATGCCGAAAGCATTAATCCATCGGTGTTTCCTTTGGCTGTCAAGCTTTGCAGTAGTAGTCAAATTCCTCTGGCTTCCCTCTTCCTGGGTAACTTCTATTTCCATCTTGACCTCATCCATTTGGACATGGAGCGATCCATGGGCCGCTATGATGTGTGGAGCTTTGTACATACTTAGTTCCTGACTACCTTTTTCTATGAGAGATTTCTTGCCATGGCCCCATCCCTAAGGAACACGAGCCCTTCTTCATTGATGAAGTCTTTGATATAGAGGGCCACCCTGTTCTAGATGCAGAAGGTCGGCCTGTCACGAGGCAAGTGCGTCAATCCTTCCCTCGTATCGCTCGGTGGTCTGGCTTTGGTACCAACAGACCCTTTTCAGATTATGTCGACCACATGGAGGAGTGCGTGTTCTACCCCTTCACTCAACTTCTCCCAGGTATTTCTATGGTTCCATTTTATTTTTCAGAGGCCTGCCATGTTGATTTTTCTCTCGACAGTGTCCTGGCCAACTCCTTCCTCATTGCTGTTATGATATGCCCAGGATTTCTGCCCGTGTGGAATGAAGAAGGCATGTCCAGCGTCATCTATCGGCCAGACAGGGTCATTAGGCAGTTCGGAATGGACCAGGGTATCCCACATATACCTCCGCCTCAAACCGATTTCCACCGAAGCTTTCAGCGGTTTGCTTGTGACTATACTGCTTTATTTGTGGAGGGCTTAGGCTTCATGGAGCTTCCTTCACTTGGGAGAGAGGGTGCCTTTCCCAGCAGCAGACTATTCTGGCACTGCAACCTTAATTCTTTCTTTAATTTTTGTGATAGTGCTCCCGTCGTTCCTGCGATAGAGCCCATCCCACAGCCCGACTTGTCTCTTCGTCTGCTCTCTGGCTGAGGGAAACAAACCAACATATTTTGTCGTTTCAAACTTTTATCTCGGCTTGTCGTGGAAGAGCCTCACCCGTCCGGGGCAATGTTTGTTCAACCCTTGCAAATTGCTCCCCTTGAAGTGGGTGCAACAGTACGCATGACCCGTTCCAGACTGAGGGCAACCCAAGCAGCAGCGACATCAGTTCCTAAGGCACATGCCTCGCCCAGTAGGAAGAGGCTCCGAAGGGTATCCATACTTAGAAAAATATTTTGTATTACTTCCTTGGACTTTTTATATTTACTTTAATAATTGCATGATCTTCTTTTTCTTTTTAAGGCCCACCGACCATACCGCCCTCTGGTCCAAGAGGTTCTTCTACTGCCATTTGCATTTCTTCAGACTCAGACGACGACGACAACCTTCTCATTACTACTAGGGTCACAAGATTCAGGACCCCCATGACAGTTCTTCAAGATGTTGAAGAGAAACCAAATGTGAGAGTCGAACCGACTACTGAGGCTGAGCCAGTTGCTGAGGCTGACCAGTTATGGAGGCTGCAGGCAATGTACAAGTTCCCCCTGTTATGGAAGTTGCAGCGGGTGATATAACTGTTGAGGGTTTAGAGCCTTTACACCCTTCTGACTCTGCGCACTCCGGCCATTCCTCTATTGGCGGAGATGATTTCGTACCTAAGACCCCTAGGGAAGATTGCGGTATGAGAGAGCCGCTGGAAGTTGTACTACCTCCTCTCAGAGCTAAATTTGGCAGTTCATCCCAATCTGTCGAATCTCCATTAATTTAACAGACTCCACTTCCAGACGTTCAAGTGGCTGAGGGGAGCGTAGGTGTAGCGACTGCTGCCACTATTCCCGCTGTGGCTTCCCTAAATTTAGACTGACTTGCAGAGGTAGCTGTCACCTTAGCTGCCCACACTATTACTGCTGCCGTTGGAAGCTCTGACCCAGTTACTTTGGCAACCTTTAAACAACTGGTAGACTTATACCCAACTCACTTCCCAGAAGTGCCAGCTGACCTTGGGGTGTCTTGGGATTTTTGTACTGGGATGGATACCACTGTTGTTCTAGATTTCAATGTTGGAGATTACCAGATGGACGACCTTTTTTCAGAGCGACACGACGGTACAAGCAATTTTGGCCTTTCTCATGAGGCCAGTTCACCTGGTCGCCAGCCAGCATTTACTCATTCTAATGCTGCTAGGCAATCATCTTCAGAAGAAGTGCGCCGTCCTCAGACCTTTGGTCACTCCATCAGTCTCCCTCCAGTGATTGAAGCTAGCGGTGGTGTGAAAGAGTCCCTCCAGTCCTCAGAGAAAGTTTCCTTCCTAAGTTACTGGGTCTCTTCCGAAGCTGCTTCCACTCTTGCTCGTATCTAAGCACTGCATCCGGACACCTTTACTACCTTTAATGTTCCTAGATCTATAGTACAGACGACGCTACTGGAGCCACTTGTTGGCTTTATTCGTGACGTTGCTATTAAGTAGATCCTGACGACTCTCAGTAAGTTCGTGGAGAGTGCCAAGGCCAATCTGAGCTATTTTGAGAGGAATGGTTTGAACCTATCATGGATGGGGGATAGGCTTCAGATGATTGGTGGTTTCCTTGAAGGAGACTATAAAGGAGTGTGAGGGTGCCCTGGAGCAGCACCTGCAAAACCTGGCTCGGTTCAAAGAGAAGGACTTTGCATTGGTTGCCTAGTTGCCTCGAGATATGACTCTGATAGACTCTCTTTTGAAGGGTTTGATTTGATTTGATGTAACTCTGTGGCTTTGTTATGATTTCTTCTATTTTCTCTTCTTTACTTTTTGTTGTTTCATCGCGCTTGGTACGCGTTTTCTTTTTTTCTTCTCTGTCATAACTTCTTTTCAAACATTGTAATCATGTTTTGAAAGTTTGACTTTAATGGAAAGCATGGACGTTTGGCAGTACTTTTGGGTTTCATTTCATCGCTTTCTTTACATTGCTTTTACATAGCTTCTAAAGATAAGCAAAACTCTTAGAATGAACAAAACTTCATCACGACTAAGGTTTTACAAGTGTAAAATCTAACTAAGTATGGAAAACTTTCCTATATGAAAACAAAAGGTTTACTAAGTGTATGACACTTTCTTTACACTTTGCTTTGGAAGCATTAACAAAGAAACTTACAACTCTTTTTCTTGAACAAACGAAACTAAGGAAAATATTCTTTGACATACTTGGCATTGACAGGGCCAGTTCTGAATCCATCATCTACTCTTGTCAACTTGTAGTACCCGCTGCTGCTTGCCTCAGCAACTTTGTAGGGGCCTTTCCATCTGGGTGAGAATTTGGGAATTGGCTGCCCCCACATGATTGCGTCCACTGTTTTCCATACTAAGTCCCCTTCCTTGAACTTTTTGTGTTGAACATATTGATTTTAGGCACGGGTAATGGATTGATGATACTTTTCCATTGCCCGCGAGACCCAATCTCTTATTTCTTCAACTGTTTCTATGTCATTCTTCCTGCTGTCTAGAGCTAAGTATGCTGACATAGCCATTCATGCTGAAGGTACTGCCAACTCAACTGGTAACACAGTTTCGGACCCATATACTAGGAAAAATGGGGTTGCCTGAGTTGGCTTTCTCTTTGACGTTCTATATGCCCAGAGCGCTACGGGAGTTGTTCAGACCATGTGCCCTCTGCTTCATCCATCATTTTACTCAGTATTCAGATGAGGGTTTTGTTGGTCGCCTCAGCTTGTTCGTTCCCTTGGGGGTAGTATGGGCTAGACTTGTGGTGCTTGATCTAGTAGGCATCCAGCAGTCTTCCAACGTGGCGATTTACAAAAGGAGTTCCATTGTCAGACAACATTACTTTGGGTATGCCAAACCTATAGATTATGTTTTCTCTAAATGAAGTTGGCTACTCTTGTCCCATTTGCCTTCCTCATTGGTATAGTCTTTACCCACTTGGTGCTAACTTTAGTTACTGCAAGTATCCATCTGTAGTCTTTGGATTGCTGCGCTATAGGACCTACCAGGTCAAATGCCTAAGTATAGAACGGATAAGGAGTCTTGATGTTGTGCAGTTCAACTGCCGGTGCATGTATCAAGTTCCCAAACTTCTGGCAGGATTGGCATCTCCTCACAAAGTTTTTAGCATCTTCTTCCATTGTCGGCCAATAGTAGCCGGGGTGAATGAGATGTTCGTATAATCGCTGCTCTGTCTTGTGGGCTTCCCTTAGCACCTCATTTGCCTCATCTTTTGATAAACACACCAAAGGTTCCCCTTCGAAGCTTTTTCGGTACAGCTTGCCTTGGTCAAGGAAGAAGCGGAGGGCTCACCTCTTAACTCTGATTGCATCAGGTTTGTTCTCAAGCAGTGTGCCATTCCCAAGGTAGTCAATATATGGTTGCCTCAATTCTTCACTGCTTAAGAAATGGGCTTCCTCTTCCTTAGGATGGGACTGACACTTTGCACATTGCCTCTACAGCTTAGTACTTTCCTTTTCTATCTCTGGCCAGTAATACCCTTACCTCTGTATCCGTCGGTATAGACTGATATCTCCATCTCCACAGGACTTAGCATGGATCTACTTGAGTCTATAAGTTGCTTTTTGTCTACCGATGCATCTTGCCAATAAGTTATTGGGACCACGAAAATACAACTCTCCTTTAAGAAGGAGAAATGATGCAAGTTCTGCTGGTCTGATCGTTCCCTAGCTTGTTTTCAACTACTGGATTATATCTGTTTTCCACCCCTCAGCATCTTGCTCTGTATGTTCTTCGACTAGTACTGCTGGTGTTGTTCTTTTCTCGATGATGATGGCTATACTATCATCTGGTATCTCCATCTTTGCCCCCAGTGTAGCCAAGGCATCGGGGAAACGGTTATGTGTTCGAGGGGTATGCTGGATTTGGACATCATCAAACTGAGTGAGCAACCTTTGAACTACAGTGCTATATGGGGTTAACAAAGGCTCCTTCAAGGCAAAATCACCCATCGTTTGCTTGACAACTAACTTGGAGTCATCCCAAATTTTCAACTTGCGGAGGCCCTTCTTTTGGGCAGCTATTAAACACAATATCAGCGCCTCGTATTCAGCCTCGTTGTTTGAACACTCAAAGTTAAGCTTATATGATAGATGAAACTTCTCTCCTTCTTGATTGGTTAATGTTGCGCCGACTTCACCTTTCCCAGCTCCGGAAGCTCCATCAAACTTTAAGTCCCAATAACTCTCAATTGCAGTTGCTGAGAGATGGACCTCATCTGGTAAAGGTACCTTTGCAGGTTCATGTTCACCAGATGGGAACTGGGCCAGTAAGTCTGCAAGTGCTTGGCTCTTAATAGCCTTGGGAGTAACACACGTGATATCATATTCTGTTAGAGCCAAGAGCCATCTCGCCATTCTTCCAATCAGAGCGGGCCTGCTCAGCAAATAACGGACTGGATCACTCCGGGTTACAACTTGGATCGGGTGTGCCAAAAAGTAGTAGCGCAACTTCTACATTGTGAAGATAAAGGCTAAACAATGCCTCTCAATTGGGGTATATCGCGACTCGACACCATTGACTTTGCAGCTGATGTAATAGACTGGCTTCTCAACGCTATCTATGTCTTGGACAAGTAGGGCTTCAATAGACTGTGGAGTAGAGGTCAGGTACAGTAGCAGAGGCTTTTCAGGCTGTGGGGCAATCATTGTAAGTAGGGAGGTAAGTGCTTTTTTTACTATATCAAATGCCTGTTGGTGTTCTTACAACCATTCAAACTTGTGATTCCCTTTCAGCAATGTTCTAAAGCAAAAGGTTATCTCAACAAGAGCTGGAATAAACCTCCTAAGGTATGACACTTTGCCTAGGAATTTCTTCAAGGCTTTTTGAGAGTGTGACGATGGCATCTCCATGATTGACTTGATCTTATCCCCATCTACTTTGATCCCCCGCTGGTGTACAAGGAAGCCAAGGAACTTGACGATGGTAACTCCAAAGGCATACTTGAGAGAGTTCATCTTGAGGCAGAATTTGTGGCAACATTGAAAACCTTTTCCAAGTCGCAGAGGTGGTGGTTTGCTTTAGTAGACTTGACCACCAGATCATCTATATATACTTTGACTTCATGATGTAACATGTCGTGGAACACTGCAGTCATAGCCCGTTGGTAGGTTGCCCCGTATTGTTCAAACCGAAGGGGATCACCGTATAGAAAAAATTTCCCAAGGGCGTTCTGAAAGCCGTCTTTTATGTATCTTTTGGTGTCATTTTGATCTAGTTATAACCACTAAACCCATCCATGAAGGAGAACATCTGATGGCCTGCAGTAGAGTCAACAAGTGTGTCAACATGGGGCAATGGAAACTCATCTTTCGGGGCAGGCCTTATTCAGGTCGCGAAAGTCTACGCAGACCCTAATTTGACCGTTCTTCTTCTGCATAGGCACAATATTCGCCAGCCACGTTGGGTACTATATTGGCTCAATGAACTTGGCCCTCTACAACTTTGCTGCCTCTGCCTTAATCTTTGCTTCAAGATCAGGGAAGGACTTCCGAGCATGCTGCTTGATTGGTTTAGAATTAGAAAAAGTGTCCAGATGATGAGTGACAAGGGATGGGTCAAGACCAGGCATCTCGTCATATGTCAAAGCAAAGATATCACTGTATTGCTTTAGTGATGTTATCGATTCTGCCTTAGCTATTGGAGTCATTGTATCACTGATAAACACTGAATTGTTCTACCCAGGCAAGTCACTAAGGTTGACCTTAGCAAGTACCTCCTGCTGGGGTTTGGGCTTATCTTGCATGCATTCAGGGGCGGCCTTAGGTGTCTCCATTAACCCTTCTTGGGACTCCTCATCGTCACATTTATTCGTCTCGGGGCCATGCTCCCAAGGTATGAAGTCTGGCCCCCAAGACCGTCATAAGTAATAAACTGTCTTGCCGCCCTTGCGCACCTTAACAATCTTGGGCAGAGGACTTGTGGATTTGCTGCTCCTTTTCTGTCCACTGCTTTCTGGAGTAGCCTCTGCATCTCGAATGTCTTTCCACTTCGGCAATTTTACCCCTGCAATTTTACCAGTCCTTGGAGTTTTATCTGTGGACAACTCAATAAAGAAAACTGCATCCGAATAGTGTGCCTCTTCCACTCCAAATGGATTTTCAAACGCATTTATGGTCACTATGCGCTTTCCCAATTTTGCTTTCACGCATTGGTGATAACTGGAAAGGATAGCCCCATATTGGTGCATCCAAGCTCTGCCAAGTATCATATGATAATTTGTGTCTGCTTCAATCACATGGAACTTTGTTGCGGAACGGATCTCGCCAACTGCTAAGTCCATGAGAACATGGCCCTTAGTAACTTTTTTCTCACTACTAAAACCCGTTACAATGATCGGTTGGCGAATTAACTTGGAATCTGGGATACCAGCTGTACGGGGAGCAAATATTCGTCGCTGTTCATACTCCTTTCGTCCAAGCTCCGTGTCCATCCAATCAACCTGAAAGCACAACAGCGGTGAGCTACCCGGCGGTGTGTTACCGGAAACCCCTCCGACGGTCAAGTTAGCACACGCTCTGAGAGAGAGAGAGACAGAGAGAGAAACTCAATGAGTGTAAGTCTATCTCACCAAATGATGTTCCATCCCTAGCATGGGGGCGCAGTCATGCTTATATACTTTCTGCGCTCAACTCTGCACCCATTAGTCTCTTGACACGTGGAGCTACTCTTCCATCTGTCAGCACAAATCCAGCGAACACCACCTAACCAAACCGCTTGACAACATTAGCGGGAACTAAGCATCCCAGCGGCACAACCTCGGCCTCATACGACCATGCTACGTAATGAGTCCAACAACGCCATTCGCCGAGCTCCGTTATGACCGAGCTTAACAGCCCTCCATAATGACTGAGCAGTTACTCGGTTGGCCAGTTTGCGGAGGATCTTGCACGCCGATCTAAACGAGCAAACAATGCGAACCAGGCTAGTAGAGAAGTTATCCCAGCCAAATCAGACCTACGCTTTAACCGAGCACACTGCACCTGGATTGTCCCAGCCTAGCTCGGCCCAAACATGCTCGGACCAATTTTAGTCCGGTCATTACCACGGTCTAAAGCCAGCTTATAAAATCTCCCTCACAATTGCCCTTAATTCTGTCTGCATTTGCGTGACTGAAATTACATTACAAGGCCGGGCTAGACTTTTTGCTCGGTGGTTCACTTTGCTCGGTCTAGAAACCTCAAAGTTGGTAAACAAAGTCATCTCGTCAACTCGTTTCTTGGCAAGTAAAATTAGCTTAGCAACTTCTTGAACGAGCAAAATCAACTTGGCAAGGACGTTTAAAGTTAGCGAGGAAAGCCAACTTAGCAACTTGATTCTTGGCAAGCAAGAACAGCTCGGCAAGGAACTCCAAGGCCAGCAAGCAAGGTCAGCTCGACGACTTTCTTCTTGACGAGGAAGATCAGCTCAGCAAGAAACTCCAAGGTTGGTGAGCAAGGTCAGCTCGGCGACTTTCTTCTTGGCGAGCAAGATAAACTCAGCAAATAACTCCAAGGTCGGCGAGCAAGGTCAGCCCACGCGACTTTCTTCTTGGCGAGCAAGATCAGCTCGGCAAAGAACTCCAAGGTCGACGAGTAAGGTCAGCTCGGCGACTTGCTTCTTGGCGAGTAAGATCAGCTCGGCAAGGAACTCTAAGGTCGGTGAGCAAGGTCAGCTCCGCGAATTACTTCTTGGCGGGCAAGATCAGCTCGGTACGGAACTCCAAGGTTGGCACGCAAGGTCGGCTCGGCGACTTGCTTCTTGGGGAGCAAGATCAGCTCGGCAAAGAACTCAAAGGTCGATGAGCAAGGTCAGCTCCGTGACTTGCTTCTTGGCGAGCAAGATAAGTTCGGTAAGGAACTCAAAGGTCGGAGAACAAGGTCAGCTTGGTGACTTTCTTCTTGGTGAGCAAGATCAACTCGGCAAGAAACTCCATGGTTGATGAGCAAGGTCTGCTCGATGACTTACTTCTTGGCCAGCAAGATCAGCTCGGCAAAGAACTCAAAGGTCGGCGAGCAAGGTCAGCTCGGCGACTTGCTTCTTGGCGAGCAAAATCAGCTCGGCAACGAACTCCAAGGTTGGTGAGCAAGGTCAACTCGGCGACTTTCTTCTTGGCGAGCAAGATCAGCTCAGCAAATAACTCCAAGGTCGGCGAGCAAGGTCAGCTCGGCGACTTTCTTCTTGGCGAGCAAGATCAGCTCGGAAAGGAACTCCAAGGTTGGCGAGCAAGGTCAGCTCGACGACTTGCTTCTTGGCAAGCAAGATCAGCTCGACAAGGAACTCCAAGGTTGGCGAGCAAGGTCAGCTCTGCGACTTGCTTCTTGGCAAGCAAGATAAGCTCGGCAAGGAACTCCAAGGTTGGCGCGCAAGGTCGGCTCGGCGACTTACTTCTTGGCGAGCAAGATCAGCTCGGCAAGGAACTCAAAGGTCGACGAACAAGGTCAGCTCGGTGACTTGCTTCTTGGCTAGCAAGATCAGCTCGGCAAGGAACTCAATGGTCGGCAAGCAAGGTCAGCTCGGTGACTTTTTTCTTGGCGAGCAAGATCAGCTCGGCAAGGAACTTCATGGTCGACGAGCAATGTCCGCTCGATGACTTACTTCTTGGAGAGCAAGATCAGCTCGGCAAAGAACTCAAAGGTCGGCGAGCAAGGTCAGCTTGACGACTTTATTCTTGGCGAGCAAGATCAGCTTGACAAGGAACTCCAAGGTCGGTGAGCAAGGTCAGCTCCGCGACTTGCTTCTTGGCGAGCAAGATCAGCTCGACAAGGAACTCCAAGGTCGGTGAGCAAGGTCGGCTCGGCGACTTGTTTCTTGGCGGGCAAGATCAGCTCGGTAAGGAACTCCAAGGTTGGCGCGCAAGGTCGGCTCGGCGACTTGCTTCTTGGCGAGCAAGATCAGCTCAGCAAGGAACTCAAAGGTCGACGAGCAAGGTCAGCTCGGCAACTTGCTTCTTGGCGACCAAGATCAGCTCGGCAAGAAACTCAAAGGTCGGCGACCAAGGTCAGCTCGGTGACTTTCTTCTTGGCGAGCAAGATCAGCCTTCAAGGAACTCCATGGTCGCCGAGCAAGGTTCGCTCGACGACTTACTTATTGGCGAGCAAGATCAGCTCGGCAACGAACTCAAAGGTCGACGAGAAAGGTCAGCTCGGCGACTTGCTTCTTGGCGAGCAAAATCAGTTCGGCAAGGAACTCCACGGTTGGCGAGCAAGGTCAGCTCGGCACATAACTCCAAGGTCAGTGAGCAGGGTCAGGGCGACGACTTTCTTCTTGGCGAGCAAGATCAGCTCGGCAAGGAACTCCAAGGTCGGCGAGCAAGGTCAGCTCCGCGAATTGCTTTTTGGCGAGTAAGATCAGCTCGGCAAGGAACTCCATGGTTGGCACGCAAGGTCGGCTAGGCGACTTGCTTCTTGGTGAGCAAGATCAGCTCGGCAAGGAACTCGAAGGTTAATGAGCAATGTCAGCTCCGAGACTTACTTCTTGGCGAGCAAGATCAGCTCGGCAAGGAACTCAAAGGTCGGTGAGCAAGGTCAGCTCCGCGACTTGCTTCTTGGCAAGGAACACAAAGTTCGGCGAGCAAGGTCCGCTCGGTGACTTTCTTCTTGGCGAGCAAGATCAGCTCGGCAAGGAACTCCATGGTCGATGAGCAAGGTCCGCTCGGCGACTTACTTCT